CACACACACACACACACACACACACACACACACACATATACCAAAAAGAGCCTGCCTATGGCAGGTGTCTGCTTAGGCTGTTCAGACACTGTTTGCAGTTGAGGGTTCTTCACTCTGTCTCTCTCCTGCTGGATTCAGTTTCTGTTCCCCTGCTCCTGCGAAGGACCTGTGATTCTATCTATAAATAAAGAATCCTTTATTATACTCAATTCTAAGTTAGTGTGGGACTACTTTATAGCGTCCATCTACAGATACATTTCTCTTGAGAATAGATTTCAACACCTAAAATTTTGAGAATTTGACTATTTATAAACTTGTAGTTTCACTATAGAGAATGCAAAATTTAGAGAGAAAAAACAATCTGTGTTCTAGTTGTGCCAACTAGGACATGAAGGGAGGAGCAGCCCAGGGTGACACTGGGCAGCTGAAGGACATCAACCCTAGAGCAGATCCAAAGGGAGAGAAGTTAAGAAAGATCATAGAATGGACAGTTGGAAAACACTGTAATGAATGAAGAAAGCAAAAGACATGTAGAAATTCTAAGGAAACTAAAAGATAAAATAAGTAAAGAAACAAAAGACTCCTTGGCATTATAATCATGAACTAAAACACTAATTCTCTAGTGGCAGCTGTGATTATGACATTCTTTCTGTCACAGAAACTGTGGTAGCAGTGGAGAACATAATAAGCAAAATTAGAAGTAGATTAATCGATTTTTTATTGTTTTCTTAAAGCTTACATCCTAGCAAAGCAAGAGTGAGATAATTTAAAAAATTAAGCAAATACAACATTTATATTAACAATAAGACATACAGAAAAACAGTAGTGGACAGAAACTTCTAGACATAGAACTTTCTATCTGAGCAATTACTAGTTTAGTCAAGAATTTAAGGAAGGGAAGCTAAAGAACTGAACCATCTGGTTACATTTATTCTGGAGGAAACAGCAATTGTGAAGGTTTTATAAAAAGATGATGTAGATATTAGAGGGCTAGGAAGATGGCTCAGGGTCAAGAGCATGTGGTGCTCTTGAAGAGCACCTGGGTTTAATTTCCAGAATACGTATGATGGCTCATATCCATCACTCTAGATCCAGGAGGTCCAACATTCCTTCTGACCTTGGCAGACAGCGGGTACACATGTGGTGTGCAAGTATACACAGGTATAACAAACATATAAAATAAAAATAATACAAATATATCTTATAAAATAAAAATAAGGTGAAGATGTAGCTAACTATGGTTTAAATACAGACATAAATAACATACAAAATTACCAATTAAAATAAGAACCATGGAAGTTGCAGAGCTGAAGGAACAGTGGGGTCTATTGAAAACTTAATGACAGAGACGACAATCACAAAACAACATTTGTGTGGTTATTTCCTCCACACACCTACGAACACCTGATTTTTGGCAAAGAAGCAAAAATATCAAATGGAAAAAAGAAAGCATATTTAACAAATGGTGATGGCATAACTGGATATCAACATGTAGATTGAAAATAGATCCATATCTAACATTATGCACAAAACTCAAGTCCAATGGGATCAAAAACCTTAACATAAAGCCAGCCACACTGAACTTCATAGAAGAGAAAAGGAAAATCCACTTGAACACATTGGCACAGGAGATCACTTCCTAAACATAACCTCAGTAGCACAGACACTGAGAGAAAGAGTGAATGAATGGGACCTTCTGAAACTGAAAAGCTTCTGTAAAGCAAAGAACACAGTCAACAAGACAAAATGGTAGCCTACAGAATGGGAAAAGATCTTCACCAACCCCGTATCAGAGGGTTGATCTCCAAAATATAAAAAGAACTCAAGAAATTGGTCATCAAAAGAACAAATAATCTAATAAAAAAATGGAGTACAGACCTAAACAGAGAACTCTCAACAGAGGAATCTAAAATGGCTGAAAGACATTTAAGGAAATGCTCAACATCAGAGTAATGCAAATCAAAACAACTCTGAGATTCCACATTACACCTAGAAGAATGCCAAGATCAAAAACACTGATGACAACTTATGCTGGAGAGGATGTGGTGTAAAAGGACCACTCCTGCATTGCTAGTGGGAATGCAAGTTGGTACAGCCCTTTTGGATGTCAGTGTGGTGATTTTTCAAAAAATTAGGAAATAACCTTCCTCAAGATTCAGTAATACTACTTTTGGGTATATATCCAAAGGATATTCAATCATACTACAAGGACATGTGCTCAACTATGTTCATAGCAGCATTGTTTGTCATAGCCAGAACTGGTTTGGCCTGACAGGGTAGAACAGAGCTAGGCCTGGGGTATGGGGGAGTAAACTGAACACTGGGAGAAAGGAGGCAAAGTCGAGAGAGAAGCCATGGAGGGGCTGGCTGGTAAACTTTGCTGGTAAACTACAGCTACATGATAATACACAGATGAATAGAAATGGGTTAAATTAAGACGTAAGAGATAGCCAATAAGAAGCTAGAGCTAATGGGCCAAGCAGTGATTTAATTAATACAGTTTCTGTGTGGTTATTTCTGGGCTGAGCAGCCGGGAACCAACAAGAGGGCTCTTAAAACAAGATTATCAACAAATTCTTAATTATTGATACAAAATTAGGGATGGCAGAATTTATTACTAACATTTTTACATTATCTCATGATTTTTCAAGAATTATATACATGAGTAATATATTAATTTCCTGCATGCTCTTCCCTCAAATCTTCCCATGCTTTACTTACAACTTCATGATTTAATTACTGCTGCACACACACACAAACACACACACAAACATACAAATAGAGCCACATGCACTCGCGCACACACTCAGAAGGCATATTACTGTCTATAATATTTATAGATTTAAAGTTTGTCTTCTGAATTAGGGTGTTTTCTTCATTGTAGCCAAGGCTGGCCTGGAACCCACTATGTATCAAGGCTTGCCTTAAATGCATGGCAATCCTGTTGCCTAACCCTCCCAAATGTTGGGATTATAAGTGTGAGCCACAACTTTCAGTATTGATTTAATTTTTTTTAATACGATTCTTTTCATTTAAAAAAACACTTCTAAAAAAAACTTCTCCAAAGTGTCAGCATGGGGAAAAATGTGACATTCATAAAAGAATGAAAAATTGAAATGAAAATTAATGTTCATTTTACTTGTGATAATATAAAAATTAAAATGTCATACACTTTCATTAGGTTTAAGAATAAAAATAGTTAACACAACAGTATACAGAACTATAGAGAAAGAGGTACTCTTATAAAGTGTCACTGAGATGCAAACTGGTAGATTTACTGACCCTTGACAAACCAATGTGATTTCAAAGAATATACCATAAATTAGCATTCCAAAAACATTCAGTGGAATTTGAAGCATAGCTGTGCTTCTGTAAATGGGCATATCTAAATTTAGGAGTCTGTGCTTCAAAACAAAGAACATGTACTCTTGGAAATCATCTCAAATCATCAGACACCAACACAAAATATGCACAAGATATGTATAGAAGTCATGCTTATCAGAGAAAACTGGAAACATATGAAGTACAATTACAGGAAAGAAGCTCCATATTTTATGGTCGTATTATTAAGCTGAAATATTACACCATGCTTAAAAATAATGATGTTAATAACAGTTACTGATACAAAAAATGTTGCAAAAATCGCCAAGTAAAAGAGGCAGTGTACTCATAGAACATTTACACCTTACAATTACTAGTCTCAGTCATGAACAACAGACATCTATTACACATAATCATCAATTAACTCAGCAAAGAATGTTGGAAAACACCAAGAGTCCTATGTCAGGACTCTTGTATGTGTCAGTACTACATTTTTCTGCATTACAAACTCTACAGTGAGTGTTAACCAACCTTATAATAGAAATATTCCTTAAAGACAACAGGTTTATACACTTTTATAAAAACATTTGAAGGCACTGGCATTTCAAACTACAGATACCAGAAGCTTTCTATTTAACGAAGACAAGAGAATCATAACTGCATAAAAAAACCAGTGGAGCCCAAATACCATTCCTACCTTCTGGAGAGAGACTGGGACAAACATAGCAAGTGTAAACTCCAGCAGTGTAGTGGTGGTAAATGTTCTGGTGCACTGTGCTCAGCAAGGGAGTGCTGCTTCTCTCTGTTAAAAAAGAACATGGGCACATCTGATTTAGAAGAACCTGGGACCGAAACCCATCTCATAGTCTGCCAGCAACATCGATGAGCCTTTGACAAAGCACAGAAGGATTAGGGTATTGCTTATCTTGTTCTTCAAAGCGTATTGATTAACCATGAGAGAACAGTATACTGTTTTCATGCTTACTTCATATACTTTAAGGAGATACACCAAAAAAACTTAAATTGTTGGTAAGAATAGTATGGTTTTTGTGTCTACTAGCCAGGTAGGGTGCTAAATACTTTCACCATCCTTTGACACTCCCCACAATTAATACTTGTTCGCCAGTATTTATAGGTGCTTATATTATTCAAGCATTATATGAAGTACTGATATACAATGGCAGGCAGTCATGGCGCAAGATATTCAGCAATACCACACCTTCAAATGAGTCATTGGATATTGAGATTTAGTCCTTAGTAGCCAGCTTTAAGGCAGATAAAATATCCAGGAGAGAATAATAACTAAATTGGAATTTGTAGACGAAAGTCACATGAGATACAAATGAAGTATGTTATATAGATTTAATACTTTGTAATATGTTATCCTCACAATGTGTCATTACACAGATGTTAGGAAGCCTAATTAATCATGAGAATACAGCATCCTAGACAGAATGGTGTTAAATAAGTTTGGTTTGTATAGTTCTAAATTTCAAAATCTTATTTAAGAGAAAATAAGAAAAATATATATTAAAATAAAAAAGAAGTAACATGATGAGTATAAAAATTAAGTATTCTGGCATATGCACACACATACATACAGAATCATACAGAGAGTGTGGTTTGTGGTGTGGTCCTAACCAAGAATCACCACTGCATGGTGAAACATACACAGGGGGAAACGCAGTGAGATGGAGAAAAAGAGGTAGGTGTTTACAAAGGGGAGCTGAATGAAAATCATCCTCAAACACAAACTGTAAGAACTTTGCAGTTTCTTGGTTTGGCTAAGAATCTGACTTCCTGTCATATGAAGTTCATATAAGCTTAATTTGAGATTCCTTATGAAAATTTCCAGTGGAGAAATTTTTAATAATTAAATTTTAATATGCCAGTGGCTCCCAGCCTTTCTAATGCTAAGACCTTTTAATTTATCATGTTGTGGTGACCCCCAACCATAAAATTATTTCGCTGCTACTTGATAACTATAACTTGTTACTGTTATAAATTGTAATGTAAATATCTGATATGCAGGACGGTCTTAGGTGACCCCTGTGAAAGGGCTGTTCTATTCCCAAAGGGGTTATGACCTACAGGATGAGAACCACTGCTCTATGGTCAATGACCATTCTTGCCACACTTATTTAAGAATCAGGGCCACTTTTTATCTTGCAAATAAAAAGTAAGAAGGAAGTAGTTATAGGAAAAAGTTTTGCTTCAGTAGAAAAGCATAGTGAAGTTGATATAACTTCAGCGGTGTTCACTGTCTTTCTTACACTGAATGGGCCATTTATTCTCCTGGTTTCTTCCAATATCTGCCTATGATGTTGCAAATTACTATTTCTAATATTTACCCCTTCTGATTTGACAGCTTTGATAACTGATTCATCTCCCCAAAGTGAAAGGCAGAAAACTGAATATAAACATCAAAGAAGTAACCCAACAGATTAAATGAGTCAATATGTAAAGTACTTAGATTAGTGCCTAACAGTGCCTGGCACAGAAAAGAAATATGTTTTTAATGTTGGCTACTATTTTCTCAACTAATATTATTATGTATATTGACCATCAAATATCTTGAGATTTTAAGCTCCCAGGAGCCAGAGAAATCTGCAATATAAATGTATGATGAGAAAAATTCCCAAGTTCTAAAACATCATGTGAGGTTGGAGAAGGCACCAAAAGAATTACAGGTTGAGTCAGTACATCAAACCCAGGGTTTGACTCCATCTTCTTCTGTTGTTGATTCCTTGCTATTAAAAAATTTCACTTTCAAATGTTCTCTTTAAATTGGCTATACCAACTCTTCTTAGCACTCAATAAAAATGTACTTATTTGATAAAAACAAACATTTTAAAGTTACAAATAACCATTGACAACAAAAAGGGAAAAATACATCCAAATCTACTCAAAATGAGCAAACTCAATAACATAACCAAGGTATGCTATAATTTTGTTGTCTTAGTAGGTTCAATCCCATGAAACTGTCCATATTCAATCATTTTTTGAAACTCAAAATGACAATTTCATCTGTTCTAATCTAGTATTTCAGCAGCTATACAGTAGAGACCACATACTTACATTTTTCTTTATTAGATGCTATATTTTCATTTGGTTAGTTGAAGTTACTTAGACAAAATATAGATAGATGAGGTCTACAACAGAAGGCAACATTATCCAAGGAAACAGGATAAGCATTTATAAAGTGGCATATAGGTGTCTGAAAACTTAATGACGCTACAGGTTCCCGCCCCTTCATTATTCTTGGATCAATCATGATTAAGATCAGTAGTCAGAGTGCAGGGTACAGTAGTAGAGTGGGGACACCACTGTCCCACCCCAACTTTCTTTTTCTACCTGAGATAGGGACTATGCAGCCCCAGGCGCGCTTAAGATTCATTATATAACTAAGACTGAGCCTGAACTCCCAACATATACCCTTGAAGCCACCTCATAAGGGACTGCAGATTTCTACCCCCATGTCCAGCTGAAGTTCTTTAAAGGGGAAGGCAATGTTCAGCTTGGTCAGCGATGCTCTGAGAAGAAAATGGATGATTTAGAGGTGTAAGGGAGAGCACCATGTCCCAAGCACAGAGAATATGTCCTCATTCTTTCATTGTCACATTGGTGTTAGAGGCAGGAGTATGGGGTATGGTCACAACACAGAACTGTTTATTCTCTTTCCTTGCAGGTGACCCAAAATTATGAGTCATATTAAAAGGCACGCCAAGTCAGCTCCTAACTATTCATACTTACTGTCTTTAAATATATTATTGCCTTTTAGAATGGCATATACTATACAAAGTGATTTATGGCTTGATGCTGATTTCTAGTGCTTTAATATATAAACTGATGAGCTATAAATCACACACTAATACACATCCTGAGTAGGACAGAGAGGCAGATGGGATGCTACCAAAATGTTAAATGTTCATATCTCTTATGGGAAAGATGAGGCATGAGGAGGTATGTCCCTGGTTAAATAACTACAACTGTAAAACCTGTGAAGACACAATAAAAATTCTTATAAATTACCCTAAAGGCACAGATAAATACAAGAAAAATTTATTCAGCAGAATTTTCTAGCTCTTAGAAAGAACAATGCCTCAGTGGCACTTAGAGCTCATACCTCCTTTTGCCTTCACAAGACAGAATCCATGTGATCATGGCAAAAATCCAGGATTCCTTCTCCAGATCCAGCTTTAAACCAAGGGCTCTGGTATAGTAATAATGGCAATATATGGCACATCAATGATAAATTAGAGAAACTATACATGTTTCTCATGATTCAGCCACTTGGTTTAGAGGATAAATTCAGGGCAAGTATAGCTGAGAGGAAGTAGCCTCTTCTTCTTGCACTAAACCCTAACCCAGAGAAAATGAGCAAACACTGGGATCCAAGCCATTCTAGCTAACTCATGAGAAAACAGGTTCTATGCTGAGAACAGCGGGATCCAGTCATCCTAACTAACTCATGGGGCACAGGTTCTGTTCTGAGTAACGCTAACCAAGTAAGTGAAAGGCTACTTATTATTGAAGGCAGTTTCACTGACTCTGTCCTTAACATTGAAGTAGTGGCTCTGAGACTTTACCCAGGGAAAGAGGAAGGTTTTAAAGACAGAATGCAAGCTCTATCGCCAAAGCACTGACTTTAGTTAGAGTAGAATATAGAAAAGCAAAACCACAGTGTGGCCTTGGGGAAATGCCAGTTTCTGGTAAGCAAATAGGACTCTTCTATCTTTGGGACAGAAAAAAAAAAAAAAAGAAAATGGTAAGCTTTATCAGTGAAGAGCAGGGAGAAACGATGTCAGTTTTTGAACAATAAGGAAAGGTAATGAGGAAAATACAAGCAGTTACTGCAGAGAACCAAGGGAAGAGACAGATAAGAATGGTTGTTCTGAGGTGAGATAAACTTCAAACATGGCTCGAAGAAAGCATAGCAAAGAAGAGTTTGATAGGAGTGAAGTGGGGCAAAATTTATGCGTGGGAGTATTGAAAATAGAACATTCAACCAGCAATTAATAGCACCTATCAGATAGAAGTGACCAAATGAAGCATTAGAGGAGGCAGCCAAAGAGCTCTTTGTCATAACTGTCACTACAGTTTCTGAGTCACTACTACACATGAGTAAGGTTTTGATCCCTACAAGGCAGAATCAAAAGTATTACGAAGTTAATGAAGCAAATTTGATGAAAATAGTTCAGCCAGCTTGCTAAATAAATAAGAGTAAACCAGAGGTGCTACTATACACTACCCCACAAATCTACATGTTAATTATACTTTCCTCAAACCCGCATGTGCCTGGCAGAAACATTTAAAGGAGGAAGGATTCATTCTGGTTTGAGGTGTAGGTGTTTCAGTTTACGGGCAGGATGCCATCTGCTTTGACTCTCAAGAGATGCAGGATCTCATGGTAGCAGAAGCATGTGGCATAGGGTACTTAGCAGATGGCACCCCAGAAGCAGAGAAAACAGGAAGGGTCTACACAGTTCTAACAGATCCAAACAGTCTGTTTAAGTAAAAGATGAATCATGAATGAACTAAACACTTATCTGAGCCTTCACATCTCTCAGACACCCAAAAGTTTGCCTTCTTAATCTGTTCTGTATACCTCAACCTGGTCAGGATGACAAAAGTTAACCATGACTTCCAGGAAGGAAGTGAACTGAAGCTGCATCTATGTAAACTGGAGGAAGAGAAGAGTTAGAATAAGGAAAAAAAGATTACTTTTCAAATAGAGAATGACAATAGCAACTTTTTAAGTTCAAAAAGGCAGTCATAGGATATCTGAAAAGTGGAGAGAAAATGGTAAAGCATAGAAAGGAAGCCAAGCTGAACAAAGTTCTGCCAGTATGGCTCCTCATTAGAGGAGGAAATACAGAAGAGTGTCCTCAGAGGTAATCCTGATGGCCATCGTGAGAAGTTCATAGTCCTAGGAAGCCTTAAAACCAGTCATACATTTTGTTGGGATATTAATTCCTCTGGCAGATGGATTAGCAGTATGGAGGATTCCCATTTTTCAGTCTGTGACTCAGACAGGGGCTGGGTGTCATCTTGAGACTATTCTCAAAGTAGATATAAACTGCCAATAAGTATTTGAAAAAAATATTCAACATCACTAGCCCTCAGGTTAATGAAAATTAAAATTGTTGGCTTACAATACCAGGCATGGATTCCTTCCTATTGGGCAAGGCTTCCATTCAACTGGAAAGCTGTTGGTTACAACCATGACATATGTGCCACTACTGCACCTTCACGGCATCTTATCGTGCTGGTCAGTGCTGTGGTCTGCGGCCATCACAGCTGGGTAGAACTGTCAATTGCCTGACCCCTGAACAAAAGGCACTTTCTGGCACCATAAAAGCTATTGCTAAAGGAGTAAACATTCAGGTTAGATTCAGCTCAATTCTGTGTCCTATATCCAAACTGCATGTAGTCTTCCAAAATAGGAACTTGTCTTCAACTTCTTGAAGACAATAAAAAGAAACAGCAGTAGCTTATATTGTTTTCAGAGTTGCTTGGACTCCCCTACCAACAGCTGGATAGGTTCCTCGTGCTTGTTATTTGTGATTTTGTTAGATGGTCTAAGGTTCTAATTATCACAAGTGGCATAACGTCATTTAAAAACACACACACACAATATGTAATTTAAGGCAAATATAAATCATATGATTCTCTATGGCTTTTAAAAATATCCTTGGTGTTATTTATCCCTCGTCCTTGTCCTCTGTCTCCATACTGTTCTGCTTTCTCCTTCAGAAATAAAGCGCACTCCCAATTTTTTTTTTCATTTCCCCTTCATAGCACCTGTACCCTACTATTCTGTTTCCATCTAAAGAGCTCCTTCCACCATGGTGTATCCTACTTTCTTGGTTTTATACTCACATCTAAAGATTTGGAGCAAGGATCAACAAATGAGAGAGAACATGCGTGTTTAATCTTTCTGAATCTTGGTTACCTTAATAATATTTTCAAGTTCCATCTATTTATCAGAAAATTTCATGATTTCATTTAAATGAATTTGAAAGACCCATCCAGAATGTGGGTAGTGCTATTCCATAAGCCATAGTCCCAAACTAAACAAAACAGACAAAGTGAGTAGTTTGTCTAATATGTGTTTTATATCTTATATTCCATTATTATCTCTTAAAAGACTGGTCTTTAAAAAAGCACTTCTGCCTTTCTCATGATGGGACTGTATCCATCCTTCAACTGCGGGTAATGCTTGATACTGCTGAACATTAAAAATATTAAGTGAAGGAAACTACTAAAAGAAGACCAAAATGGTATGATTTCATTTATAAGAAATATGAAAAACTGACAGGTATGTAAATATAAGAATGATTAATGAATGCAAAGCTGAGGTGTGCAGGTAGGTTGAAAATGAATCAAATGAAACATTATGTATTGTTATTGGGACAGGTATATTTTGGGTTGATAAGAATGTTCTAAAATATGCTGTGGTAAAAATTGTTCAACTGTGTAATATAAAAATAGCCAATGAATCATATACTTCTTATTTATTTATTTATTTATTTATTTTCCTTTCATTAAAAATATTCTTTTCTCCTATAATATATCCTGACCATAGTTTTCCTTTTCCCTATTCCTCCTAGTTCTTCCCTACCTCCCCTCATATCCAGATCCACTCACTTTTCCACTCTCATCAAAAACAACCAGTCTTCTAAGAGATAATAATAAAATAAGATAAAACAAAAACTATCACATCAAAGTTGAACAAGATAAACCAACAGAAGGAAAAGAGTCCAACAGAAGGCACAAGAATTAGAGACATGCTTGTTTGCTCACTCAGGAATTCCATAAAAGCACTAAACTGGAAGACACACATGTATATATTGAACCTGGTAGAGACCGTGCAGGCCCTGTGCATGGTGTTTCAGTCTGTGAGTTAATATGAGCTTTACTCCTGTTGATTTAAAGGGCCTTGTTTTCTTGGTGTCCTCCATCCCCTCGGGTTCTTACACTCATTTCACCTCCTCTTCTATAGTGTTCCCTGAGCTCTGAGGGGAGGGATTTGATGAAGACATACCATTTAGGGCTGAGGGGTTCAAGGTCTTTCTCTCTTTCTCTGCATGTTTGGCTGCGGGTCTCTGTATTTGTTCCCATCTGATGTAGGAGGAAGCTTCTCTGATGATGGCTGAACAAGGCACTGATCTATGAGTATAGCAGAATATCATTATAGGAGTCATTTTATCACTAGAGTTTTTGTTTTGTTTTATTTTGTTTTCTTCCAGGTTCCAGAGCTATCTATTCTGTGGTTCTTGGTCAGTCAAGCAGTATCGTGTATGGGTTCCAATTTGTGGGAGGGCTTTAAACCAAATTATTTATTGTTCTTTACTCCCACAAGGTTTTTTTTTTTTTTTGCCGCCTTTGTCCTAGCATATCTTGCAGGCAGAATACCAGTGTACATTAAGGGGTTCATGGCTGGCTTGGTGTTTATGTTTTTCCTTTGGTAGCATGCAGAGTACCTTCTATGTAGGCACCAGCTCAACTTCTTCATGTCCAATAGTTGTGTAGGTGTTGTCTCCAGAAATGGGACCTTGTTCTAAGTTTTTTGATAGCAACCTATTGTCTTGGCAATAGAATGGATTATTTAAAAGATTAAGCTATATAACACAAGGCTTATACACTAATAAAATGTCACATACATTTAAAGTAGGTAAGAATCTAAGCTCATTAGCATATTAGAATTTTGCATCATTTCTGCAATTTACTTGACATACACAATTTAGGAGTGGAAAGACTTCTTAGTATAACATCTCTGAGGTTTCTGTCTAGTCTTGTCTGTAGATTTTGAATCTGTGGTGAGCTGGTGGGAACATTTGGCAAAGGTTTCTCACTTGGCAGACAAGAAGCAGAGAGGGAGCTACACTATTTCATTTTCTACTTTTCTCCCTTGTATTTCATATGGGTCTCTAACCTATGGGACAGTTCAATCACATTCAGAGTAGTCGTCCCACATAGGTATATGCTGGGGAGATGGTTCAGTTTGTGAAGTGTCTGCTCGCAAGTATGGTGAGCTACGCTCTAATATTCAATACCCACTAAAGGTGCATGTTTGTAACTCAAGTAAATGGAGGTAGAGATAGGCAGAAACCTGAAACTCACCTAGCTGAACTGCGTCAAAAAATATGGTGGTGCCATTGAATGTCAGTGGTAAATGGTTGCCAAGCCTTACAACCTAATTTCAATTGCTGAGACCCACATGATGGAAGGAGAGAACTTACTCCCATAAATTGTTTGCTGACCTCTCATGTGTACTATGCACACATACATAACAGATAAATAAATGTTTAAAGATGGTGAAGAAGGTGAGAGAAAGACGCTTGAGGTTGATTTCTAACCTCCATATTCGGGTGCACACAGGTATACCAGCCTCCACCCTTGTGAACAGACATATATATCACAAGCACCTGTGTACGAACACATACAAGAATTCATTTCATGCTTCAGTTAAACCACAGCATAGGATTTGGTATATAAGGTCAGGCTGAAAGGCTGAGTAACAGTTTTAGTTATGACCGGTCTAGAACAAGAAAATGATGAGCACATACTTGGTAGGTCAGGAGTCTGGGGCGGCAGCACTGAAAACACACACACACACACACACACACACACACACA